GTGGAGGATTGCAGAGCATGCTTGCACTCACCTACGCCCTGGGCTAAGGTTCGTCTGTACAGATCTTGTAGTTCGGCGTAGAGGCTCTTCGCGTCTCCATCGCCATCCCCAGCAACGACCGCAATCAAATATTCTTCAAGATATTCTGTGTTAATATGTGTGTACATGTGAGTTTGTAGAGCGTACGGAGCATAAGTAAGACCGAAAGTACAGCGAAACAAACAACCGTTCGCAACATCATTCCGTCTATTCCCTTCGCTCAAGTCTTGTCTTTGAGCCAGAAACACGTCAATTAAACCACATCTCAGTTACACTGTCAAACCCACCGCAGTACTGCAGGCTGCTATTCAGACGTACATCCACCTCGCTTTCCAGTGCACCTCCATCGGTGGGCCCGAGGTTGTCCATAAACGCTCGCCACATGGCCACCACATCCTCATGACCACGTCGCAGTGTGCTGAGTTTAACCAGGGTCACATACCACTTTGAGGTGTCGCTTTGTTGTTGCTGGTCGAGTGCAATCTTGGTGTGTGACTGAATGAGGAGGTCTTTCTGCACTGGCGGCAGATGCTCAAGCTGATATGGGCAGGGAACGCGCGTGAGACATGGATGACGTAACTTCAATTTACGGAAACGAGCGGTTGAAGCGAATAAAGTGTTGCATTGGTAAGGGAGACGCTTGAGACGGAGTACCCATAGTGATGCGGCGAAGTATACATGGTTATGCTGTTCTCCGTTTTTTCAATAGGTAACACGATCCAAATAATGCACGCAAGACGGAGACTAAAGAGCCGGAATGGATGGATACACATTACGTCAACCAGAAAGTGCAATACGAACATTGAATCCAGCAACGGAGTAAAAAGAACACGCAATATGCAGGCCCTGCCGGACTCTCACGTCCATGTCAAACCTGAAACAGCAATTTATCTTACAAGTATGAACAAGCATATCAAGGCATCATCTAAATTAGACAACTAACTACTTACGAAGTCTCTGTCAGGTAGTTGTTTGCCATCCAGCAGTCGCACAACACCTTTATACGCATCCAGCTTGACGGGATCAATGGTGATCGCTTTCTTAAAGTACTGAACGGCCTCTGACACGTGAAGGAGACCCTCCGCTGCCGCACCTCCGAACAGACAAGCCGCATAGCTCTCCGGATTTGCTTGTAGTACTCTCTGCAAACATCAGCACAAGCAAATTTGTCATAGTAAACCCAGACAGAAAAACAAATCATAATTATGGAGTGAAAGTAGGCACCGTATATATATATATATATATATATAAATTA